TGGCAGGACGTGATAACAGCTGATAAGCTGTTATCACGTCCTGCCACCCACCAACTGATAAACTTCAGCACCGGTGCCCAAGGAACAATGGTTAGAGGCTTCGTGAGTCAAGTATTCTATCCCTTAGCGATATGGTTACGACCGCTAAGCTCTCGAGTTTCGACGAAAATTAAAAGCCCTGGAAGCTGCTCAACGGAAGTACTAGGATGTGAGAAATGTGAGGATATTTCACCATGATATCGATGTTATTACCATCGAAAGTCTTTCAACCGCTAAGCTGTCCTATTTCCAACGGATGGTGAGTGTTTCTTAGAAATGTGATAAGCACCAGACATTAGCAAACGTTCATTAAATAGGAGAATCATAATGAAATAGGCCGTATTCTAAAAAATTGTAATCGGGCGAAGTGTTCGGGGTCAATACAGGAATCCTGTCAGCGCAGTACCATTACCATAGGTTCAACCATACGCGCAGTAGTGCGCGTCAAGCTTGTGATTCTTATAACAGACTTCAATTTTCTAATAAATTCAACGAAAAGATGTGTTCTACAAGCTCACTCAAACCTTTAAACGACCTGGGAATGGTACTGCGACGGAGATGTGGATTTTTCGCATCGTCCGAAACCTGTCGCAACAAAGTCACAACGGAAAATTTTTTCTGGATAGTGGGCGTGAGAAAAAAAATGAGGTGCTTTTAGAGAAGGGAAAGTGTTCTAGATTCACGCACTGTTCTTGGTTTCTTGAGAGATGACATCTGAAGAGAGTTATGGCTGTTCAGAGCGAGGAAACTCTTGGTTGACCATGAAATGCTTCAGCCTAACGGAGAAAGCTCTCCAAGAACAATGAGTTTCAATGCGTCTAGACCTAGTCAGCAATTTAAAAACCGGGAGCTTCACAACTAACCGCTTTCCTTTGCGTGTGCTTTATGAACAAGCAAACAGTAACCAACAAACAACAAGAGCAAAATCAGCCCATAAATAAGAGAAAGATGAGTTCATAACAATGAAAAATCAGAGAAGAAGCAGAAACAATGGAGAACCAGAGGAATTATTGTGGGGAGGATGCGGCACATATCGCTTCGTAGCAAATTCCGAAAGGTATTTCAATGGAGCACCTTTTGTTTCGAACAGCCATAACTTTCAAAGTAACCGTGAGTTGGGAAAAAGAAAATGCTGTCGTAAAAAGCTGAATTCTGGGTTCGTGGGTACTGGAAGGTCCATTAGCGCAGTGACTTCGGGAAGTATGCTTGTTGAGGACTCGTTGGGGATTTTAAAAATTACGTGCAAATTTGGCGTTGAACGACTGGTGACTTCCTTCCAAGGCAGCTGTTCGGAAAAGCAGGAGCCATTTTGGGAAGAGGACGGTTTATCCTTCCTGAAATTACTTCTGTACAAAATCCAAATGGTGGTCGAATTGATTCTGTACAAAATATGATAAAGATGAAGACAAGTTAAGGATTCAGTAACATTTAGTAAGGAAAGGCTGAGGCGCCCGAACGGATTCTCTTGTGAAACAGAGGTGCATAGTCGTTTGTTCAAGGCCAGCTGGCTTATCTCGGATGCGCTGTGCTACAGGCTCCTAGGCAGAGGTGGTCGAATGGTGTAAATTATGCTAATGCTTGTCCATACAACCAGATGACTTTACAGGGAACAGAAAGCTCCTTCCTTTCACGACAGTACTCTTCGAAGTTACACATTTTCAGTGGTCTGTTCCCGCTATATTCCTTGTTGCCGTAGCCTCCCTTCTCTTCTAAGCTACCAGTTTCCTTCTTGTCATTGCGGAGTGAAACGGAGCATTCGTCTCGTGTAACTGTATCTCAAATGTGGAAACCATCTTAGAGCTTCTACACATGCTATTCGAGTCTCACATGCATGTGGCTTGATTAATTACGCTTTGTTTTCATGAGCTCATTCTGAACCAAGTCCGCTTGTGGGAGGTCGGCAACAGAATTCATGATCTTCTTTGGCGGAAGCGCAATAATCCAGTGTGCCATTCAAAGAAGGGGTTCCAGTTGGTATGGTTGCGTGAATCCAAGGCTCAATCTTCGGCGGTCCCCAAACGAGCAGTGGGAGAGAATGAGAAGAAAAGTGATGAGAAATGACGAGAATGATGTGAGGGTGCGGCTTGAACCCAATCTATTCTGATTCCCCTAAAAGACTATACATAAACTGAGCGAGGTCATCACCAGCTGATAGTGAAACATCTTCAGCTAATCTTGTCATAAATATCAATCACATGCATCATTTAATACAATCTAATACATGTAGAAGTAACGGCAATGAAGCATTTCCAGATCTCTCCTCATGCTCGTTAATGTATATAGCCGATGCAATCTACCTCGTACTGAAAGGGTTTGAAATTACAAGGGTGAGTAATACTTTCAACAATTTTCCATTTTTTTGTTGGCCTCCAGATTTTGGTTTTTGTCTTGTTGCAGGTAAGCTTGAGGAACAATTCCCTGAAAAAATTTCCGAAGAAGATCATCAGCAAATTTCCGAACCTCACCAGTACGTTCAGTTTTTCATTATTAAGCTGTTGACGAATAAATGAGCTGAATAAATCGCTGTCTTTTGAAAAAAGCATCATGAATTGATAGTATCTGATTCCAGTCCTCAATGTGGAAGGAAATGAAATCACCGAATTCCCAGATGAGTTCGAAGAGCTGACCTCGATAAAGGGACTTAATGCTGCCAATAACAGACTAACTGCGGTGCCCGAAGGAGTGTTCAGCCTGAAGCACCTTGCCATCCTCGATCTCTCTGGAAATCTTATTGAAGGTAAAGAAACCATCGGGCTTTTTTATGGTTTTGAATTTATGGACCAGGAAGTGGCTTTATCTGTTGAGCATAACCTTATTTCAGATGTTGATGCCGATCGCTTGTACAGCTGCTGTCCTTCCTTAGTTCAGCTGAAACTGTCGGGGAATCCGATTAACGAGGAAGCGAAGAAAAGACTATCCACTTCATCACTGAAACCCGCGAAGATTCTGCTAAAATTGGATTGAGAGGAGCAGAACAGCAGATAATCTATGAAGTACCGGTAAAAATGCTCACGCACACGTCTCCAATTGAACGTGGCCTCGCTATCAAAAAATAAACTGGTAAACGCCAACAGTATACTTTACGTCATAAAAAATTGGTATCGAACTGGTTTCGTCTTCAAACCATGAAGCTTTGGACACAACTGTTCTCACGATAGAGTGATATTGAAAGTGAATAAGATCTGCGCAAAGTAGTTTATATGACTGTGTTTGCATACGGTGTGAATGAACCTGTTACATTGTACTGTGAACTAGCTCTCGAGCGAGCAACTGAAAACCGTTTATGTATCCTTAAACGTTGTCTGTTAATTTAGTAATATTGATAAGGATGAGGCAAATAACAGTACGATTTCACCATCAGTTCTACCCTGATGCATTTCGAGTAATTAGTAATAAAGAGTAAGCAAGTACGTGAATGTCATTAGTAATAAAGAGTAAGCAACTCCGTGAAAGAAAGTAGTGGAAGCTGAACCGTAGTATAAACTGACCAGCCGTGACTTCGTGATCTCATTCAAATCTAGGTGGCTGTGTCAGTGTCTTCTTGATCTTTTCGACTACTATCATCGGAGCCGTAGCTTGGAGAAATGTATGAGCCTGCAAATATTTCCGTCCTATCAAGTTAAAAATGTAGTGAAGGCGACGAAGCGGAACTTAGAAGAGGTGTGGTTTGCTTTTCGAGTACATTTGTAGCATCCTACTCATACTCACTGAGCACGAACATATTGAGTATTTTGTCAGATTGTAAATAATAGCAATATTCAGGGTGACTAAGAAAGATGCTATTCTCAAAAATCCTTTCATAGACGCTTAAGTGATGTGGTGAATGGAGACTCAATCTTCGAACCCTTTCTTCAATCCTGTGCCTTCAGATTCCATCCAACGCGTGTTTGGACCCCGCTATGTCATGAGCGAAGCGTTTTTGGTCTCTCCTGTGTGGCACATTCGGTTGAACAGAATGTCCTGCACCACGGATGAATTGATGGTATGACTTCACTTGCACCCAATGACTCTCACTTATCTCGCGAGCTATTTGTCCACCCCATAAAGTGCACACCAAATAAGTGGGTCACCTTCGTTTTAAGATGGAAATCAGTTGCTGTTTTAGCAGGGCTTAGGACCAAAAGCGGATGGTAAGTATGAGGGGTAGACCGATAGATCTGATGTATGTGGATTTCTTTATTTTTCGACGAGTCTCTGTTAACTCCTTCACAACTCCACCAAAACATGAGGAACTTTCTTATCGTTGAAGTTCCTTCCAGCTTCAGCAAAGCCTAATTCTCCTTACCGCAACCACTGATCCCTGCTGATACCGTTGACGAATAGGAATCAATGTTTCGTGAAAATATCTGAGACCGCGCTCGTGCAAGCCCTACATTTAGGCTACAGTAGTTACAGAATGCGAACGGGAACTCCTAGTGCTAAAAGCTTCTAATGTTCCTCTCTGTGTATACCAGACCACTCATAATCAAATGCGATTAACAGTTTTGATGATCCGATTTGTCTTTGTTAAAGGCAGTGCCCGCGTTCAGTTGAGATTTCCTCTCCCTTCGTGAGCAGGTAGTCAGGTCCGCAGAGGCAGCGATTACACCACTTTCGCGGCGCAAAAACGAGTGAGGAGGCCCACGATGCCGTCGTTCCTCTCATTGGCCCAACCCTCAATCATTGACACCGCTTCATCGTTTCTAATGGTTGCCCTGATGGTGCGGTTGTTCTGCTACTAACTCTCTCCACTTCGAATGGTGAGAGTGAGGTGATAAGGGAAAACAGCTGATACCAACAAGTGAGAACTCGTGCGACCACGGCCTCTTTTCGCCTTATGCACGTACAACCTCAGCTCGGATGGGGTTCTAAATAGGGCCTTTCCTATGATTTCTTTTGATTTTTCTTCACTAATGGGTTACTTGCTACCTTGTTATAACTATCTGAGCCGCATAACTCATCAAATTTGAATGCGGGCTCAGCCTTTAAGTTCAACGTGCCCGTCGCGGTAAAGAACTTCAAAAATCGGTCTCAGGTTTCCCAGTGCGCTAAGCTCTTCCGAATATACGGCATTCAGTTTTCGGGCCTCACAACTCCAATCCGTAGAGTAAATTCACATTGATCCGATTTGATTTTAGTGAAGGCGCATTGCTTTTCTTCCCTTGAAAAGCTGGTCACGGTAATTGCTTCCATTATGCAGACAAACCACTCGTGGAGAAGACCTATCTTATAACGAACTACATTTGTGAAAATTAGGTACAGCTGTACCACTGAACCATAACAGGTCAGGGGTAACAAGAGCAGAGGTGTACTTATTGTTAAGTAACCACTATCGACGCATAAAATCAGGTTTTCCATAAGATAAGATTAGATCTTTGAGATATGTGATTGAATTTGATCGGTGTAGCTGCATTCATACCGAATCTGCTGCGGAGATTCGACTCCCCCTCGAACGTTGCCTCTCATATGAAAGGCGACAACACCCATATACCTCATGTGCTGGCAGTACAGGAGCAGGTACGTTGAATTACATAGTCCAAATCATTTCAAGGAAAGCAGTTCCGGATGACATCCGTGCAAATTCAGTGTTACAAATCAGTTACATGTAAATATAAACTTAGGGCTGCTCGACTACTGCCGTATTCTTTGCATTCATTCCACCTTACTCTTTACCCGTGTCTAAAGCACGTCAGTCCGATCTCTGCCACTGCTTCTGTATCAGGCATAAACTGTCCTCTGCCTGAGTCAAAGATGACACTCTCTGAGAGATGGTGCATTGTGGGCAGCTCAGGCGTTCTACGATGGCGGTTCATGAACCGTTTTCCGTGTTTTTGCTGCTCATTTGAAGTGCACTTCTGCATGATAGCGAGAGACGAAGATGAGAACAATCGTCGCCTATCTACAATGAGCTCAGGCGATGAAGCGGTGCCCGTTGGTACTTATTGCTAGCTGGGGTTTGAAGTCTAACTTAGACCTGTTTATTAGCCATTTATTGTTGGCACTGAGTGTTGAAGAAGCAATCGACTTGATCGGAATATTGCTTAAAATTTCTAAAGCCGCTTGGATACTAGCATTCACACTAAGAGTGTAGGGCTACCAAAGAATAGAAAAATCCAGTAGTACGAGACATGGATATCTGAATGCTTGGAGAGGAGTAAACTCATCATGATCGAGGATCACCAACGGAAGCTTACAAATTCAAGAATGGTGCCACGTTGTCCATGATGAGTCGTATCGAATTCAATCGTATCTCATTATTATTTTCGCGCCTCCTTTGAGTCATCAGTTTAATGCTCCATAAGAAATAATATGAATGTTTTTCTTGTGGTAGCTTCGTATTGAGCACTTGGAAAGACTTCGCTCGGAGCATAAGTAGAAATTTAACTAATAGTTTTATTTGTTTTGCTACAGTTTAATTCACGATGAAAAATATGCCTAATGCGGTGTAACGCATTAACTTGCTGCGCGTGAGTAAAAAAACATTTGGTTCCAAGATCTTGTTCTCTACAGATTCAGTAAGTGTATTCCCCTGACTGCAGATGTATTATTAATTTAAGTTCTTGTTCCTGTAATTTGATTTTTCTCGTTTACTCCTGTTCGCTACGATCATTGCCGAAAAGAAACGACAAAAAAACTTCAGCGATACTGGTAGGACAACAATACAAAGAAAAGAAGTGCAAGAATTCTGAAGGAAAGCAAGGTAAAAAGAGGCTGGAGCACCGTAGTATCGGAGCGCGTTTGTAAATGTGGCGCGTCACTGCGCGTTACAGCGCGCCGACGCGTGACGTCGCGAAGTCTGAACGCTGCCATAGAACGAATAAGTGAATTTGCACAGTGGCGAAAACAATATAAGAATAAATATTTTGAAGAGTATCAAACCATCGTCATGCCAGTGTGACTGGAGGGTAGGAACAGCAGTGCAACGTCGTATGATGTAAGGGAAGGACAAACGGTTGAGTTCACATCTTCAATGAAACGAATGGAATTTTTGATAAGGCTGAGTTTAAATGAAGCTGTGTAATGTTAATTCATTGCATGTGACCACATCATAACCCTTACATTATGTTGCTCTCCAGTCTTGTCGTATTATTCTCGTAACTGATGGGCCTTGATTGTTCGGCGTCCGTCGAACGGCACGTACCAAATTGTACAACTACAAACCAAGCTCTTACACATTTTCCTCTTCGCGTTGATGTTTTTCCGTAAGACAGCACCAGGAATCGTCTTTCGCAGGTTGTAGGGTGGTTAGAGTTAGAGTTCATTAGGTGTGGGAAGCGGAATACGAATGAAGAAAGGAGCGAAAGAAATTGCCGAAGACTTCTCAATAAGGTCCCATGTACAAAACTCGAAAAGGGCGGTTGCGCTGTGAAGTGAACTTCTTACCACATCAGTGACTCCCTTGGCATCCTATAGGTGAGACACTCATGTTCACGTGAACTAACTACATTTTGGCTGTAGCACCTGTGGCGCAAGCATAGATCTGTTTCGTCGCAAGCAGATCTGTTTCGTCGCAAGCGATTGCGATATTTGTGTTCACATGGTCAAAATTCCTCTGCAGACTAATATCCAGAAAGATCACGCAAATTAATTCAAGAACAAGAATTCGAGAGTTGTGGCAGAAAGGGGTAAACAGTTCCAAATTTTTTCCTGAGACAGCGACGGTGCATTTTCCATCCTTCGCACACAGCTTGGAACGAAAATCAAAGCAGACTCTCATATCAAAACAATAATAGTGCAATGATATAAAATTAAATGCAAAATAATGAGCGAAGATGAAGTAGTCACAATCAATGCTAAGATTTAAGCAGTTACCATCGCTATTAACCGTGTTACAAGAAAATTAGCGAGATGGAATTAGTTTCAGTAGCGGAACTGACCTGTCGTGCTTTCACAAAGAGCATCGAGTTGCGAGAGTGGAACATCCTCTGTAATTGGGGACTCCACCATCGTGTACATTAAAGGTCGGTAGATCGCGGACACTGTCT